TCCCTGTGTGTTCACAGAGGAAAGGCCATGCGAAGACGCAGTGAAAAGACAGCCATCTAAAATCCAGGAAGAGAGGTCTCACCAGAAACCAACTCTGCCAACACCTTGATCTTGGACTCCAGCCTCCAAAACTGTGAGACAACATATTTCTATTGTTTAAGCCACCTGTCTATGGTATTCTCAGTTCCCAGTTATAGCAGCCAGAACTAATACAACCTCTATCACAAAAACTTGTAGTTAATTATATTATTAAACAGTTGACCCTGACCAACATGGGTTTAAACCTGTGTTGTTCAAGGGTCAGTTGTATTTTGAATTTAAAAAATAAAAAAATGTGGACATTTGTTTTCTCTTGTTACATAAAGTACCGACACAATACTGATTTTGGTTCTTGACCCACAACCTCTGATGTATTTACTACCTGGCCTTGCATAGAAAATATCTACTGACACTGGCTTTAGATGAGAACTCCATTGTACTAAGAACCAATTATATGTCAACCCAAATCAAAATAGTTATTATTTTGCCATGTAAAGATTAGTAGCCATATGTTGAGCCTAAACACTCAGTATTCTTTTTAAAAATTAATTAACAAAATTGATTAACAAAATCCAATAAGTCTCAAGCATACAATTCAACATTAAGTCATACATATATTGCACTGTGTGGTCACTGCCCATAGTTAGATTTCTTTCCTTAATTACATACTTAATAAGATGGTAGAAATTGAGGAAAGAAAACCACATGACGAAGAATATCCATGTACTGATAGCAGTCCTTAAGCATAGGGGTTGTTCAATGAGTGCCTAGAGAATGCATGTGTTTGGTTAATTATCCCGACTGCCGGACGATGTTCCTTTGAAGGCGCTAGATTTGTGGTTTCAGTCACGCCCACAAGAATGAATGGTGTGAAAACCCTATGCCTCTGCATAAGACTGAGTCCTGGCTCGCCTGGTATTCATCAGAGGGTCTAAACCAGAAAACGAGTGATGAATCAGCATTCATTTTTTTTTCCCACCTTTTCTTCAGCATACCTGGAATGTATAAACTATTTGGCAAGGGCTGTTTGAGTACCTAGTGAGCTTTCTGTCTGTCTGGCTTTCTAAATTTCACAGAATGAAATCTCCAGTCCTTTTCTTCTCACACAGAGGGACTTACTGTTGATCCACACCTAACCTGATATCACCATGCTACATCAGTGGGGCTCCCAACTCCACATTTCCAGATATTGCTTAACATGGAAGTAGGAAAGGGAGAGAGATAGAGATGTGTCTGGGGGCAGGCAGGCACTCTCAACCCAAAGAAGGAAACAAGACATGAGGTCAGAAAGGCAGCTTGGGGGTGATCAAGGATGGCTTTGATCCCAGGTTATAGGTTGAGATTTCACTCTGGAGGGAATAGGGAGTTGCTGCTGGTTCTTGAGACGAAGAGTGCTGTGTTCTGGTTTGCACTGTAGGGAGATAATTCCGGCAGCAGCATGGAAAACTAAAGAGAGATTCGTGTTCACAGAACTTGGTCTCAACTTCTCAGCTATCTGAAAATTCTTGTCAAGGATCTCTCTGAGGCGTGTCTCTTCCCTCCTTGTTTCCCCAGCATCCTTGGCTCTTGGCCTCATTACTACCAGTAGCCAACCCTTTTAAGTAAACAGTGTCACTGCCATTTTATGAAAACAAGATGTCTGAGTAATGAGCCTTGTCAACATGTGTCCGGAACCAATTTCCACTTCTTGCGTCTGAGCTGTTTTCTGTGCCCCTTTCCCTGTCATCTCAAAGAATGATAGATCTGACAGTATCCTGGCTCTTTCAGCCTGATGGCCCCTTAGCCACCAGGGGCAGGCTGTCAACCAAGGGTCAGAATGCCTAGCCTACTTGGGTCCTATGAACCTGGCCCTGTCTTTTTCTGCACAAACTTATTCTCTTGCAATCCTTAGTACTGAGGTTTACAACTGCTAAATTGCAGTGGATGGTTGAGAGTGGGGCTAGCTGCGTGACCTCAGACAAGTTACCCAACCTCTTTGTGCCTTAGTTTTTTCACTTGTCAAGTAGGGATACCAATAATAATACTAACAACATCATAGGGTTGTTGCAACATGGATTAAATGAAGTAATAGAGTTCATGGATTTTACAAGGGCTCAGTAATATTAGTTAAAATCTTCTGTTATTCTCCACCTCAGCCCTCATTATAGATGAGAAAGAAATCTGAGGCTCAGAGGAATTAAGTCACTTTCCCAAGATGACAAAGACAAGTTAATAGCAGGATTTGCATTTGGGTTTGGAGGTCTGGGGTTCCTTTCCTTAACACTGGGAAAGTATGGGTTGGCATCAAGTTGTGTGAGTTTCATTGTCGGCCACTACCCCAGACTCAGCTACGATCAGTGCCAGGCTTGGCAGGAC